TATATATATATATAATTAGTTAGTTATATAAATAACAAGCCTCAAATACAATTGCAGTCAACATAAAATCATATACTTTCTTAATATATGTTCATAGGGATGAGCGATTTAAACTAAATCTCTCAATATTTTTCTGCCTTTGACAATATTCAATATACATGTTTATGCACTTGTTCAGAAATGGCTTAAAAACACTAAAACACTAGTTTAAAACAATCAGTGCTCGTTTCCCCCAATGTTTTGCACTAAATTAACACTATTAATTTGTAATTCATAACCTTTATTTATAGAAAATGACAATACACAATAAATATCTATATTTACCTACTTTATTTTACTAATGCATTCAATAAATATTATTATTAATATATAAAAAAAACTGGAAACTGGATTTCTTGGAATATTTGTAGTGATGATGAATCGTGAAAAAGAATCATAGTTTTAATTTGATTCTTTGTAACTGACAATTTGAACCGATTCATAAAAATTAATCAAATTTACGAACTTCACAACCAGTTCACAACCAAGGAAGAACTGTAACTATAAAGTTTAAATAATCTAATAATAGTCTAATTTAATGAGAAAGGGAAGTCAACAACACCAACTAAATGATAACGACATATTGGTTAGAGCACTTTCAGAACTACTTTTTCCAGCTGATGAGCAATAAAAAACATTGCCCAATCAGAATCCAGCTGATGTTAAAGAGCATGAGCATTTATAGTGGCAGAGGACATAACCGCAGCATACACTTACAGAATGTTGTTGTGCATTAATGTGGATGCTAATATAGTTATCTTTATAGTTGTTGTTCAAGTTACTGTTCTTGGTGCGAACGAGCATTAAAACTATTCTTGCTACTGAAGTTTAAACTAGAAGTTGGAAGACAAGGATAGATCACAAAACTAGTCTGGTCTTTAGGAAACTTGATGGTCAAATACTGTAAAACAGCATTGCTATAATCATTGCTATATTCAGATGAATATCCTGAATCACTTGAAAACACATCAGATTATGAAAGAAAAATGGTTTATGAAGTGTTTCATGTTGATTTGAGCTATAATTTGATAAGTAACATTAACTCCATTAATTTTAAGTAAACTTATTTTAAAATAATATTATATTAATCTTAGAATTATTTAAGTTGACTACTCTGTATAGTCGAAACTCAAATGCAGAAAATGTTCAATATGTTTACAGGAAAGGTATATATTTTTACAGGGGAAAATACCACAAATATTTACTTGCTGAAATATGCCAAATGCTCTTATAAACTAAAGTGGTGTCTCTTTGCTCTAAGTGCTTATAAGGAAACCATAAAAATAACATTTGAGAATATGGTTTTGTGTCATTTAGTTCACACACACCCACCTGCCCTCATTATACTGTGCTCCTCCCAGGAAGCCATATTTATCAGTACGCCTCACTGGACCGTTGATCTCCGAGTCTGACCCAAAAGAGCTGCCGTCCTCGCCGAGCCCCGACAGAGACTCCAGCGTGCCCGACATTAGGCTGGCTGACTCCAGGTAGCTGAGCGTGTCCGGGGCTGGTCGCGAGTAAGCAGAGGGCAGAACCACTGACCAAGCGGACTCCTGCACCAGTACGGCTGGGGGCTCAGCCTTGGAGGGTGTGCAGGGGGGCTCAGGGGTCACCTTGGCAGTGCTGGGAGTGTTGGGTTCGGGGTTCTGGGCGGACTCGTGCTGGGGGACTGTTTGTGCTTCTGTTTGCCTGGAGTCTTGTGAAGAGGGGGCTGGATTGGAAATGGGAGCAGGAAATGTAAACTGAGGAGGAATGTCCACGGGGGGAGCAGGACTGGAAGTCTGGCTGACTTGAACGTTGGGATAGAGATTAGGACTGGGATTAAGTTCAGGCCATGATGGCATCTGTTGCTCTTGTGCTTCAGTGTGTCGCTCTGTTTGGCCGATTAAATCATTTTTCCCATTTCTCTCTCCATCTGGAGCAGCTAGTACCTCTTCAGGAGGACCAGCAGCGCTCACTGATGCTGTTGAAGAGAGAGCGGCACTGTTTTTGCCCGGTGTGCTCTCCCAAGAAGAAGAGATTTTTCCGCTTGCCTGTAATGTTGGGTTTCCCATCATGGCTCGGTCCCCGTAGAGAGATGATTTTGGGATGGGAGATTCTGAGGGGAGAGGCTGTGGGCTGGAGGGAGCAGGGACTGATGGGTCAGCCATACTGGGAGGGGAGGGAGTGAGGGTGGTGATTTCAGCCATAGCTGCTCCTCACTGATACAACTGATCAAAAGAGAAACAAGAATTATATAGTCAGTAATTATTCCTTAGAAGACAAAAATAAAAACAAACACTGTGATATCATTAAAAGCATGAACTCATTTCGTGAATGGTTTGCAATGAAGCAGGTGTTTAGATGTGACAAATACTCTCACAGTTTGCAGGAAAAGAAAGAAAACATTCATGTAGAATTTTTTGTATCAAATCCTCTGTCAAATTCCACAAGCATGTCTCACATCATAGCACCCCAAAGAAAAAATTTACTCATTAGTTTCACCTGAAAATAATAACATACACACCTAAAAGGCATTAAACTAAAAAGGCGTTGCCTAAAACAATCTCTGAGCACTCTGACTCAGGGGCGTAGCCAGCGGACCGGCCTGAATGGCATCGACCCGCCCACTATGATGAATAGGCCCGCCCAGTTTCTTATACATATATAATATTTGTTAAATAATTGTTGTTTAACCTATTTTAACACAATTACAAAACTATACATCTCAAATATTAAAATAAATAAAATGTTTTTGCATAATTCTTGATGAGTTTGATTGACAGCCTTGTTACACAATTAGGTGTTATCCAGGCTGTCTCAGGCATGACGCACCTGTGAATTTGTGTGTTCACCCATTCTGTTAGCCTACAACACACTACAACACACAAAAGTTTGGGTCAGTAAGAATTTTAAATATTTTTGAAAGAAGTCTCTTATGCTCACCCAGGCTGGTGATCAGTAATACTGTAAAGAGAGAAATATTGTGAAACTGTATCACAATTGAAAATGACACTTTTTTATTATATAAATGCAATTGATCCTGTAAATTAAATATTTTGTAACATTATAAAAGTCTTTACAGCAACTTTTTCATTTCCAATGCACCTTGCTGAGTAAGTATTAAATTAGTCTTAACCAGTTTAATTGAATTAATAAATATAAAATAAATATTACATTTAAAAAAAATCTGACTGACCCCAAACTATTTATTGGTGGTCTACCTTTAAACAGTCACTTTGACAACCACATTAAAAGTTATGTTTTTATAGATTCTCCGTTCAATTGAAGAAAACGTGAAGATCTAACAAAATATGACCCATCTCAAATAAATGTACTTCTAAACATACAGGCTGCTATAACAAGAGTAGAGTATAACCACAAAAAATACAATACAGCAGAAGATGAAGAGGAGACAACCAGCCATTTATGCAAAAATTATACCACATAAACAACCCGTCTACACTTAAATTAAGAATAGGGTATATGTCGAACATCACCTGACCAAACCCGGAAAACAGGTCTCATTGCTTCCGCTTGTCGGAGAACGTGTTAACAGCCGTATTAAATAATAGCGATATCTATGGACTTTTAAGATAATCAGTTAAACTAGCTAGCTGTTTTTATTGTTGACGTTTTATTCAATTTTTATATCTAAATGTGAAAAGAATAAAAATAAGAAAAACTTTTAGATATCAGTCCGCATATGTGATGGACATTGGTTATGATCATCTCTGGTATGTACTTTGAAGGCATCTTGAGTAAAACTGCTTCATATTTAACGAAGCATATGCAAAACGCTTGAACCGGAAGCGACGAGACCCGGTTAACAGAATACGGAAGTCTGTTGCGCATAACCCCTATTAAAATAAATAAAATGTAACAACATGTGACATGATGCATTGTATTTAACCATATCCTCAAGAGTAAGAAACATTCAGAGGACCTTTGTATTGTTCAGTAAAGACAATGGTGATCTGTTTCACAAAGAGTCTCATTTATAGTGAATTATGAAGACGCAGACAAACTACAGTGATTTGATTACAATGTAAGGCTGCGCTAGTAATACAGGTCCAGTTTAGATGTATAGGAACAGGGTACCACTATTTCCTCTTACACTAAGATCTGCCACCTAGACTTCCTCATGATCTATATATAAATGTGTCTGAGTACAGATGCTGACAGGAGGTGAAAAGGAAGTGGTTCCTTGAAAGAAGCAATGTGGCTGAACATTCGAACATGCCTGTGAATCCCAAACGCTGTCTAGGCAGACAGCTCAGTAGGTTTGGACACACAGCCCATGTATGATGGTCAAACTGTGGGGTGTCTACAAAAAAATCTGATGGAAGATTCACAGAAGTCAGATGACTATTAAAAAGTAGCGTGTTATAAAGCATTATCTCACAACCAGCTATTAATAACCTCAATGCAAAACTCATCAGGAGTTTTTTTTTTTTGTGGTAGATATGGAAAGCCTTACTCATTTTCACAAATCTTTTTTGTTTTTTTTTCAAACGGGTGCAAAAACAAGTCAATGATTCATTTTACACAGCGTAATTAACCATGCTCATAAAGTCAGCTCAAAAAGACCAAAGTAATTTGGTAACTAATTATAAATTATCATTTTCATGAGCCAATACTAATTTACATTCTGGCTGAAAAACGTTTTGTTTGTATGTGATGATCAGAGGTGTAAAGTATTGGAGTAAATGTAATTAGTTACTGTACTTGAGTATCTTTTTGGATACTTTGTAGTTGTACTGAGTATCAAAGATATTAGCAACTTTTACTCTCTACTTCACTACATTTTTGAATGAGTATCTGTACTCTTTACTCCACTACATTTGAAATGAGTGTTGCAGTTACACATTAAATTTTGCATGGACCTAGCTTTTTCTGCAGCAATTTATTTCTGCTACAAAAGACGTGATACTGCCTATTACAGGTCACTGAAAGTACTGCATCTTGTGCATTTTGCCCTTACTCACCCAAACTTTTACTCAAGTTGTTTTGGAATTGGTGACTTGTAACTTGTAGTGGAGTAATTTTCACTGTAAGGTATCTGTACTTTTACTCAAGTATGGTTTTTAGGTACTCTTTACACCTCTGGTGATGATAAACCTGTCATACATTTATAACATTTATGCTGCTATTTGATTCTTACTGTATTTTTTCTTCCCCAACAGTCAAATCCTCCAAACACTCTTGGAGTCAGTTCGACCAGTCAGTAAGTTGTTGACTCGCGAACAGCTCGGACCGATTAAAAAGCCCAAATCGAGAATGAATCATTCATACCGGTTCAATCGATTCACTAAAAAAGATTCCATTCAAAAGAACGATTCGTTCATGAATCGGACAATGCTACTTTGTGGGACTCCACCCATACACACCAACTGTGCTCGTTCCGGGTCTCCAAGCCTAATAATATCTAAAGTGTGGGGACGAATGAGTTGTAAACAAACCACACATATGTACTTTCAGTGTCAGTTTTTTAAAAAGGCAATGGTGTAAACGTGTGAGCTGTCAGTTGTGGTGTAATTAACCACATGTGAGGTGACTGGACAATAATACGCTACCGGATACCGGGAAACCTCCATTTAAAAAGGCCAACATCTACACAAAATACATTACGATTTTAAACGCAAGACTACAGTCATAAAACACACAAGTGAGCAGATAGCACCTGAGACTGCTTAACCCGCAGGAGTCGCTGGATTTGTGACTGCCAAGTTTAACCTAAAGCTGCTAATCGTGCTGTCCGATCTGTCACGCAACATCCTCTCAACAACACAAATATGCCCTTATTATGCTGAGAATCACCATTCACTCCATGGTACATAAGATGTGTATGAAATTGAGAAGTTTCTTTATTGTAATATACTCATTTAGCTGTTGAATTTGGCCTGCTAACTTGCTAGCTCATGTCTACAGTAACGGCAGTGCGGCCGATCAGCTCAACTTCCCGGTTTACGGCGCAGGAAAATAACTTAGTGCTATTAATTGTGTTCATCTGTTTTGTCACATCTGTTCGCTCTGAGAAGAGATAAAAGAGAAGAGCGTGCTCATCATCCTCCTCATTATTCAGACTCACCCGCAGCTGTGGGATCTGTCCGTCCGTCCGTCCGTACCGGGGGGGCTCCTGTCTGCTCCGGTTACCGTGACCGCCCCCCCCGCCGCCGCTGAACGGATGTAAAGGCGCGAGCGAGACAGGCCGCTGGTAAGCCGCTGGGCCGGTAGAAAAGTTCTAATGATAAAGCCTAAAGTACGGTTGGGGTTCTGAGTGTGGAGGGTGGTGTGCTGCTGGGCTAACGGTGTTAGCTAACGTTAAACACTGCCGCTCCGTACGGGGTTCCCACTCATCCGCGCGCCAACAGATCCGTATCACTGTTGACATTGAGTACACTTGTGCGTTGCGTTTTAAAAATGTCAGGAAACCATCTGAGATGTCAAACGGGTAGCATCCCTGGAAGAGATAGACACGGCCCTGCTGACATCTCGCCGTGTCCGCATTTCCTACAACCAACTCTGAGTGACAGCGACGTGCGCGCACCCGTGCCGCAATGCGTGAACGCGCTGTATCTACTGACGCAACGACGCCCAGCCAGGTCAATGCAGACCACTCGCGTTGAAATCTATGGTTGAAATGCATTAAAGGCAGAGTGAGGGATTTCTGGTAGCCAATGTTTATATTTGAAATCACCAAAAAAAAAAGCAAAATTATTTGTTTTTCGTTCTTTTCCAGATTTAACGACTTGTAGTTTTCAAAACCCGCGAGTATTTTTCATTTACATCACTGTATTTAATTTCTCCTCTCCTATTTTGTCCATTCTCTCCGTTTTATTTTATACTTCTCATTGTTATTGTCTGTATATTGTTTTGAGCATTAATTTAAAAAAGCACTAACAATGGATCTTCTTCATCCCTGAGAGCAATTTTGTCTTTTATTAAGATATATAGCCTATATTATAATAAGATAAGGATAATTTTGATAATTTAAAATAACAAATAAATATGTTTAAAATATTTAATATAAAATAAATATATGTTAATACAAATTAAATGTTAATTGTTATTTTGGTTACACTTTTTTTTTTTTTTTTTAAAGTTCCATCTAGGGGTGTGCGATATATATCGTCTGCGATAATATCGTAATTGTTGTTTTAACGATGTGCGATTTGACCATTCAAAAAATGATTCAAAACACCCCTACAGAGTGCACGCATACATTAGGCTACGTAAAGTCTAGACTAGTGCGAGTGCGCATTTAGAGTGTGTTCTTTCACTGCATGATTCAGTCTATTACAATACATTTAGAATGATCACCAATTCAATACATGGGGACATAAAATGTATATATTTCTATCATTTCATATAGTTAATCAATATCACACAAAGAGTGCCGTTTCTTTCTCCAACAGCTACCATGATTACAATCGTAGGCCCCAATATCGATTTTTTACAACAGTTAAAAAAACAAGAAGTTAATTAAGAGACTTATTAGACACCATATTGTCTGTTTTTGTTCTATTTCGACAACAAAAATTATTCCAAACACAGCCACAGCGCTATTTTGCGTCTCTGAGCAACATGACGGTGTTTCGCTCCCGAATGAATCAACCGTTTAAATGATTCGGTTCAATCGCAATGACTCGCTTATTAACAGTGATTTGCTGCCACCTACTGCGGTTTTAATTTCACATTTAAAGTTTCTTTTCATTATTTAAATAATTTCAAATAACAGTATTCAACGTTTTATGTTTAGCGTTAAATATCGCATGCGATTTATCGTGCAGCCCTAGTTAAAATTAATTTAAACTTATTGGAAAAGATAAATTTCTATCAGTGTGAACTGACCACCACACAAAATATGAAGAATATCAAAAACTTTAGGAGTCAGCTGTCCATGGTAGTCCTTAAGATACCAACACAATAACACACTCAGCAAAATATCGTCTAATTATCGTTATCTTTAAAATACAAGAAAATATCTTTTTTTTTTTTGTTGCATTTTTTGCATTATTGAAACACTATTTTCCTAATTAATGCTGTACAGTTGCTTTGACACAATCTGTATTGTTAAAAGCGCTATATAAATAAAGGTGACTTGAAAAATGGCTTTATAGAGGTAAAAATGTCCATAAAAGGTTAAAATTAGGGCTGCACGATAAATCGCATGCGATATTTAACGGGCATCTTGTCAGAAAGCCGTTTCTGTAATCAGCGGTAAATCTCCATCACATGCGGGCTTTCACATGGAGCAGCATTAACTACACAGAGCCGTTGTTCACTGACAAGAGTTGCTTTGACACAATCTGTATTGTTAAAAGCGCTATATAAATAAAGGTGACTTGACTTGACTTGTCAATATCACACACCCTATAGTTCCATCCCACACAAGCTCGTCGAGACAGCAATGACAAGACACCATGTTCCAGAGATGATTAGAAACATAATTCGGGACTACTACAGTGACTTTAAGTTGAGAGTCTCCTCAGGGTCACTAATATTTTCATGGCACCGGCTGGAGAAGGGTATAATCACTGGCTGCACAATCTCAGTGCCACTCTTTGCATCAGCCATGAACATGATCGTCAAGTCAGCGGAGGTGGAATGTAGAGGGCCAAAGACTAGATCTGGTACTCGGAGAGCATTCATGAGCATTCATGACCTAACGGTGACAGCAACATCTGTTCCTGGGTGTAGATGGCTTCTTTGAGGACTGGAACAGCTCATTGCATGGGCAAGGATGAGTTTTAAGAAACCAGCCAAGTCCAGGTCTCTGGTCCTGAAAAAGGGAAAAGTGGCTGACCAGTTCTGATTTACCCCGGGAGGGACTCAGATTCCAACAGTGACAGAAAAACTGGTCAAGAGCCTGGGCAAGATCTTTGACAGTTCCCTGAAGGACACAGCCACAATGCAACAAACCAGGAGCGATCTGACTGCCAGGCTCACCGTGATAGATAAATCGGGGCTTCCAGGAAAGTTCAAAGCCTGGATATATCAACATGCAGTTTTGCCAAGGCTGCTCTGGCCTCTTCTAGTGTATGAGGTGCCAATGACAACAGTGGAAGCCACAGAGAAAACTATCAGTCAGTTCCTCCGGAGGTGGTTGGGGCTCCCTCGCTCTCTAAGCAGCATTGCCCTGTATGGGCATTCCACCAAGCTGTAGCTTCCTATCAGTGGCCTAGTGGAGGAGTTCAAAGTAACTCGAGCCAGGGAGGTTATGATGTGTACCGAGACTCCTCCGACATTAAAGTAGCGACTGCAGGAATTCTTGTGAAGACCGGTAGGAAGTGGCAGGCACAGTTTGCTGTAGATAGAGCGGAGGCACGGCTGCAGCATAACATCTTGGTGGGCAGTGGGGTGGGCAGGGCTGGGCAGTTTTCCCCAACCACTTTATGAAAAAATCCAAATGGGAAGGAGAAACGTCAACTGGTACAGGATGAAATACGAGCAGAGGTGGAGGAAGAACACTATAGCAAGATGGTCGGCACGTACAAGCAAGGAGCCTGGACCAGATGGGAGCAGAGCCTCGCAAGATCACTTGGAAGGAGCACTGGAGAGCTGAACCATTGTGTATTAAGTTTCTCATCCAATCAGTTTATGATGTTCTCCCCAGCCCATCCAACCTGTATAGCTGGGGAATGGCAAATACTCCAGAGTGCCAACTGTGCCAGAAGAGGGGTACCCTGGAGCACTCAGTTGTTGTTCGAAGGTATTGGGGGAAGGGTGATACCGATGGCGCCATGATCAAGTCTTAAAGGGGTCATATGATGCGATTTCAATTTTTCCTTTCTCTTTGGAGTGTTACAAGCTCTTGGTGCATAAAAAAGATCTGTAAAGTTGCAAAGACTAAAGTCTCAAATCCAAAGAGATATTCTTTATAAAAGTAAGAGTCAGCACGCCCCCAAACAATACATCACCTACATCAGAGCTGGGGAGAAGGCACAGGGTTGGCCTAGCTCCACGAGAGGGATTCTTGCCACCGTATGGGACTGGCAGCTCCAGGTAGATCTAGGAAGGCAGCTTAAGTTCCCAGAGAACATCGCAAACACTTTGCTCCGCCCAGACATGGTGTTAACATCAGTGTCGATAAAGCAAGTGGTTTTACTGGAACTTACCGTCCCCCGGGAAGACCGGATGGAGGAAGCGCATGAGCGCAAGAAGGCTAATTATCCAGAACTCGTCACTCGGGGCTTTGCCGGCAAATCACTACAGCGAACCATCAAAGCTTTTGGTGTTAAAGGACTGCAGTGCAGAAGAGCCATCAAGAACATCATGGAGGCTGCGGAGAGGGCCTCAAGTAGCACCAGAAGGTGTATGTTAGAATTAAGGTGGCCTTCTTACAGTGTAATTACACAAATAAGTACTAAGTACTATTAATAAATAAACAACAGGCTACTTAGGGTTAGGATTTACTACTGGTAAGTAGGCTACATGTAACGTGTAACAAAGGCACAAAAATAAAGTGTTAGGATACTGTTTTTTTTTGTTTGATGCCAAAATGATAATAATAATAAAAAATTCATACATAAATAATGATTGTCACAATTCACACGGAGCGAGGAGACACGGAGATAGCTTCAAACCACAGTCTTTTAATAATCCAAACACAAGGGGTACATAGGAGACACAGGAACACATGGAATGACGATCAGAACTGACAAACACTGACCGAAAGGACTAGGGCTTTTAAACACAGGATAATTGGGGGAAGAACTAGACACACCTGGAATCAAATTAACACAATCAACGGGAGACAGAAACTGGGCCACAGGGAGCAAAAACACACAGACAGGTTCATAACCTTGACATAACGCCCCCTCCCGGAAGGTGCGTCCTCGCACCGTAGAAACAACATGGGGAGGGGAATGGGTGGGAACTTGGGAGGAGGTTCCGGAGGAGGACGATTATCCGGGAGGAGGCCGGCAGACAGAGACCAGGGGGGCGACGAAGGAGGGAGGAGACAGGAGGGACCCGGAGCAGGAGGAGCTCAGCAGGACCTAGGCCACAGCCATAACAGCGGCCCACGATGGAGCCGACGGTGGGAGGAGCCATGGAGGAGGGATGGCCGCCGACTCCAGGGGGCCGACCAACGGTGCGGAGCAGGTGGAGGAGGAGCCCGAGGCGGAGACAGAGCCAACGAGCTAGGGGGATGCCGAGGATCCGGGGGGCCAGGGTGGAGCCGAGGGCTCTGGCGACCAAGGTGGAGGCGGAGATCCGGAGAGCCGCGGCGGAGCCGGAGCGACTGAGGACCAAGGTGGAGCTGGCGGGAGG